ACAAGCCCATCACATGGTCCAATCTTCCACTGCCATGTTGGCAGCTTCCACCCATCCAGTTCCGGTCAGGTGCAGAGGTGCAGAGACAAAGGATGACCTTGGCTTTCTAGAAGGAATTTTGTTATGGCTGCATAGCATCTAACTCCGTACAATTCCCACCTCCCATTTTCCCCACTATAGAAAAGGCATAACAGAATGATAGAAAGTGTGGCAGGCCAAAGATAGGAATATGGCTGCAGGCCTGACACCACCTTCCTTTCTCACCTGTCTTTCTGTAGAAGAAATAAGTGTTTGCTCCTGTTTTTCCTGTCCTTCACAGGGACCTCCTCCTCTTCTACCCACTGTGCTCAAGAAGTCTACTGACTGAAGCAAGATGCTGGCTGACAATTCTTCTGACAATTGTTCCTATCCTTCCATGGGTTTCCAGGCCTCCGTATATGCAGCAACTTACGTGATCATATTCATCCCTGGTCTGGTGGGCAACAGCCTTGCACTGTGGGTGTTGTGTTGCTTCGTCAAGAAGGAAAGCAAAGCGGTCGTTTTCATGATGAATTTGTCCGTGGCTGATCTGGCTCATGTCCTCTCCTTGCCTTTGAGGATGTACTACTACATCAACCACAGGTGGCCCTTTGGGAGCTTCCTCTGTCAATTCTGCTTCTACCTGAAGTACCTCAACATGTACGCCAGCATCTGCTTCCTCACCTGCATCAGCGTCCAGAGGTGTCTCTTTCTCCTTCATCCCTTCCGGACCAAAAGTTGGAACTACAGACACGATGTTGCTGTAAGCGCTGTCATCTGGATCGTGGTGGGGGCTGCTTGCTTGCCCCTGCCAATCCTGAGAAGCTCTGGCTTAACCAACAAGGACAACACCTGCTTTGCGGACCTCGGAGTAAAACAGCTGACGCAGGGAGCCTCCATCACGCTGATGGTGGTAGCTGAGCTCTCTGGGTTTCTGCTCCCTCTTGCAATCATCCTTTACTGCACGTGGAAGATGAGGCAGTCCCTGCAGGATCCTCGCGCTCCGTCGCAACAGGCCAACGAGAGGCGGAAAGCTTGGCGTCTGATCTTGGGCTGTGCGGCTGTCTTCTTTGTCTGCTTCACCCCCTACCACATCAACCTCCCCATCTTTATGATGGTCAAACAAAGAGTCTTCGGGAGCTGCTTGGTCCGTCACCATGTCCTGAATTTCCACACCATTTCTTTGTGCCTCGCCAGCCTGAATTGCTGCTTGGATCCTATTCTCTACTATTTCATGACATCAGAATTTCAGCAGAGGCTGTTCCGACACAGCAGGGCTGCCTTCCTGCACCGATTCATCCATTTAGACAACAGCAGGACTGCAGTTTCCACTGCCAAGGAGGAAGGAGAGGAGGAGGAGGGTGGGAAGAGAAGCGAGAATATTTTAATGGCCTATTTGCGACCCTTTCGGCCTCAAAGACTTAAAAATGATAGCATGGATCCTCCTCCGTCTCCTTAGCTGTGGTGGGTTACGAACGGTACACCCTAGTACGGGTGTACCGGTGCCTGCTGGGAGCACAGGGTACCGTTCTGGTACAGTGCTCCGGAGGGCCCACCCATCCACCCGCGCTCCTTACCGGTATTTGATCTCTTTGGTGCTTCCGTGCACATGCATGGAGCATACAACGCCTGTGCGATGCTCCGCCGAGCAGCTGGAGCATCGTGGAGGTGTCATGGAGCGTCGCAGGAGGTAAGGACACATGCGGGCACTGTGCATGTTCATGTGGTGGACGCCTGGCCCCATTGCACCATACCGGTTGCAATGGGACCCAGAACCCACCATTGCTCCTTTAGCCAACCAACGATGCATAGAGGTCCATATCAGATGAGCTCCCGCCATTTGATTCCTCAAGTCTTGGCGACTCTCGGCTGGATATATGGACTTGGATCTGCTGAAAACTATTGTATTTTGGTTTGTTGATGGGTGAGATGTAAGTTCTACTCAGGATGATTCACAGCCAGTGGTTCCATGTGGCCATTGCTTGATGGAACAACCAATGAATTAAGTTTTGGAACCAAC